CCGCCCGGGAGCGCCAGGCTTCCGGGAGCCGCCCCGCTGGGCACCGCCCCCACGGCGCAGGCGCCGATTGGCCAGCGCGGCCGCAGGGCGGGGCCCATGCCTAAAGGGGCGGGAGCTAAGGTGGACCGGAGACGGCGGAGGTGATGCCGCGCGGCACACGTGGGTTTCTTCTACATCTCTCTAATGCCCGCACCTAGTGCCAGGCCCATGGAGCCCACGCGACACTACCCGCTGTTCGGGGGCGCCTTCTCCGCCACTCTCCCTCCCGGGGCCCTTGACGTGAGGTGAGAAGGCGCGGGCGCCGCGGGCCGGCCGGGTGGGATGCGGGCAGAAGCGGGGCTCAGCCGGCGTCGGCCTCGCCTCTCTCCAGCGACCTCCGGCCGGTCCCGGACAATCAGGAAGTTTTCTGCCACCGCGTGACGGACCAGAGCCTGGTCGTGGAACTTCTGGAGCTGCAGGCCCACGTGCAGGGCGAGGAGGCTGCGCGGTGAGGGAGGCGGCCGCCCGCGCGGCTGGCCAATGGGAGGGCCGGAGCCGAGGAGGTGGGCGGAGCCCGCGGCTGGAAGGTTGATCAGTGCGATGGGAACTCCCAGGGCAACACCTCATCACCGGAAGTGAACGAAGCCTAAGGGACTCAAAGATGCTGGGGGGCGGGGGGTTTGGGGGAGTCAGAGACGTCCCTCCCTGACCCCGCTCCCCCTACTCTAGGTACCACTTTGAGGACGTGGGCGGGGTGCAGGGGGCTAGGGCCATGCAAGTGGACAGTGTGCAGCCCCTCCCTTTGGAGAACCTGGCTCTGAGGAGCTTCTGTCAAGAAGCCTGGGTCCTCTCTGGCAAGCAGCAGGTAGCTAAAGAAAACCAGCAGGGGAGGGCAGGGGAGTGTGAGATTCCTGGAGGGCTGAAGGGAGTGCCCGGTCCGGTCAGCATCTCGACTCTGATCCCTTTAGGTAGCAAAGGATGTGACAGCACACCAGACTTTGCTGCGGCTGCCCCGGTACCAGACTGATCTCCTGCTCACCTTCAATGATCCCCCGTAAGGAGGACAGAAAGGACGCGTGGCTCGTGACTGGGTCCCCAGGAGGATCTGCTGGGAGGGGCAGAGCCGGGAGACTGGCTGGTGGGGTCCTCCAAGGGAGAGGGAGAGGGCCAGAGGTTTGGGGTCACAGGTACTCAGGTCCTACGGGGCACAGGAAGTGGGAACTTGCCCACCCGCGTCCTGGATGATACTCTCTCTCCATCTGTTCCCCCCACCCCCAAGCCCTGACAATAGGTTATCTCTTGGTCCTGAAAATCTGTCACTTCCGCCCTGGAGCCTGGGTGACTTTGAACAGCTGGTGACCAGTCTGACCCTTCACGACCCCAACATCTTTGGTCCCCGGTAAAGATGCTGAAACACTGCGTGAAGCTGCTCAAGCGCATGGGGACCCCGTTCTTCAAGGGGAACAAGGGGTTGGATATATGCCCCTAATTCCTCCCCTGTGCATAAACATAAGACACCTCCTGTCTGCAGAAATAAACTTGCTTTATAACCAAGATAATATCTCTGTGCCTTTGCATCTAACAAGATACCTGGGTCCCCCCAGTTCCCTTTGGTCTTGGAGTGGGGAGTTAAAAGTTGGTGCATAGGATCAGAAGGGACCCAAGGCTGTCCAAATAAAAGGAGGGAATACTTTGGAGTGACTGGTTCAGCCCTGAGGGGGTGTGTGCGTGCGTGCGTGCGTGCGTGTGTGTGTGTGTGTGTGTGTGTGTGTGAAGTGTCCAGGAGGACGGATTAAAAGGGAAGGTTTAAAAGTGACACCCAAGGAAGGGAGGGAGACTGTCCCTTGTAGTGATTCAGCCCTGAGCAAACAGACGGGGAGTGGAGTTGGTGGTCCCCCTTGGAGGGACAAAAGGTCGCCTGGGCAGAAGTCACCAGGGCATAGGAGTGGAGGCAGAAGTGTCCAAGGAGTGCTGAGCCGGGGGTGTGTGAAAGAATGGCCGTGGTCATTTGGCGTACGTGCAGTACAGGGTACGTAACCGGTCCCAGAAGAAGAGGGAAAGGATGGTGTGGGGGCCGAGGCGGAAGTAGGAGGCCCCTATGCCCTTGTACATGCCAAAAACGCCCTCTGTCCGAGCAGTCTGCAGCAGAGCGTCCAGCATCCCCCGGTACATGAGGCCCTGAGAGCAGGTTGAGAGGGAGGGAGAGCACAGGGAAGGCGTTCGTCAGAGCCCACCAGCGGCCTCATCTCAGGGGGCTGCACTTTCGGCCGTCCCACCTGCGTCCACCATTCGCTGGCACCCGCCGCCTGGCCTGCCTTCCAGAACCTTCCCTTACCTTGCCCCGAGCGTCGGTGGGCTGGTTGTAGAGCCTCGTGCTGACCACATCGAAGGGCGTCATGGCCAGGACCACCGCAATGCCACTCACCATGGCAGCCACTAGAGCCACCTTCCAGCTCTGGGGAGGAAATATCTAAGGGTGGAGGGAGGAAGAGGTTTCTCAGCCAGCCATTCGACCCCTAGGAAAGGACGGGCCCTGCCCCCAGGGAGAGAGTAGAGGGCTGGTAACTCAGGGAGCTTCTGTGCCACCAGTTAGGACCCGGCATGGGAACACTGTGAAGTAGGAAGGGCGGGATGCTCAAGGACTCGGATGCACCATCTGGGAGGAAGTGACAAGAGGACAAGTGGGGAGGGTGTAGAGGCAGCAAACCCCAAGCCCTCCTGCCATTCCCTGACATGGACCACGAGCACTGTCCCCTCTGGGGCCCCCTTCAGCTTGCCCGCCCCCTGCCCGCAGTCCCAGGGTGGCCCCACCCCTTCCCCCGGGGGCAGTACCTCCCACTGAGTGATGAAGTCCTTGGTGGATGAGAAGGTGCACAGCTGGGTGGAGGAACCGATGATAACTCGGGGCAGGCCGCCCAGGGCCCCGCGCCACAGCCCCACCAGACCATGTTTCTGGCCAATCTCGCTTAGCGCCTGAAACATGCCCTGGTAGGGGGAAGACCATGGGGGCGGGCTTCAGTCCCCCCAGCATCAGGGGGGCTGCCACCTCACACTGCCAAGGATGGGTCCTTCACGGGCACCCACGTCTGGGCAACTGGTCCCGTGTGGACTTAGAATCGGAATGTGTCTACCACCCGCCATTGCTCCCTTCCTCACGGCTCCAGAATAGGGGCAGGGTGGGGCTGGATCTTTGGGCTGGGTTGCAGCTGTCGGGGGGCAGGCAGAGAGCTGGGGTGGGGAGGTGGTGGGGGCAATGGGAAAGAAGGGGCAGGGACCCCAGCAGGTTGGGAAACCCTCACCTGATGCTTATACTGGTGCCCGACGGCAATTTCTGAGGCCGCCTGGGCCTGTAGGTGGGTCTTCACCTGGGAACAAGAAAGTATCACAGCCTATGGCCCAGTGGCCCGCCTCCCACCTCAGAGACCCAAACGCCTGACCCCGTCATACTTCCTCTAGGGTGTTCAGCAAGGACTATCCTCTTAATCTGATAATTATTGTTGTTCCCATTAACACATTGGTCATGAGACTCTGTGTCCCTTGGCTCCAGTCCCAGGGGATGGATCTCCTAGCACTGCAAGACACCCCAGCCCCCCTACATCCTCCTTCCTTTGGGGGTTGGGTGGGGGATGGAGAGGTTAGAGAATGGCAACATTTCCTAAGAGCGTTCCCGTTAGGCAACACTTGGCTGTCCAGCCTCTCATATCAGCTCCTATTCCCACACTGGATCGCCAGCCAACACCATGACCAGGCTCCCCATCCAACCCTGGGGCAGGTTGTTGCCTCTGGAGGGGTCATTGTCCCTGAATGTCGCACCCTGGCAGTGAGACCAGACTGCCTCTCTTCTAGAACTGCCTGCCTCCCAGTGTCTTCCAGGAGGAGCCCTAAGCAGGAACTAGTCCTAGCAACAAGCAGCTGTGTGACCTTGAGCTGGTCACTTCCCTTCTCTGGGCCTCAGGCTATTGACCCTTCACGTATTCCGGAAAACTCAAAGGAGGAGACTGTGGGATTCTAATTTTGTGGTGCCCAGGACTTTTCCTGAACCCTACACCCACTGATGTGTGGCACTCAAACTCTGCATCGTCCCCGACACGAACCTACTTCCAATCTCAGTGTCAGGTTGTGAAGGCCCAGGCCCCACCCTACACCAAGGGTCTGCTTGAAGACCCCAGGCAAGACCCTTCTTCTCACCATGTAGATGGGGCTCCCCAAGTAGGCTCCCATGACCCCAGCCAGGGCCCCAGTCGCAGCGCTGCGGGGTTGGCTGAGGCTGCCCTCAGCCGTGTGCAGGTAGCCCCCAGCCTCAGCCAGCCCGTAGGTGCCCAGGCGGATGCCATTCATCAGGAACTGGTATAAGAGAGCAGGGGCCAGTCCCTTCTGCAGGGCAGCTGGGCCATCCACCTTGCCGATGGTGATGAAGGCATGGAAGACGTTTCGGTAGTGCCGCTGGTAGGTGCCGGGGGCCTGCAGTTCTCCCTGCAACTGCATCCTGGTCTTTACCACTTCCAGGGGGTTGGTGAACAAACAGGCCCCACAGGCTGCCAGGCCACTCATCAAGAAGTCCATGGTGGGGTAGCAGTAACAGGAAGTGGCCAAGGAGTAAGAAAGTAAAAACAAGCTTCAGAAACGGAGTCAGAACTCAGGGGGAGGCCTCCGTGTCAGCAGTCTCCCCCGCTGCAGGAGATAGGAATTTAGAGGTCTGAGAATATTAGAGAGAGTCGAGAATATTAGGGTCAGAGGTCAAGAGGTCAAGGGTTAGCTGGAATTTGGGAGTCGGGAGCTGGCAAAGAGAGAAGGAAAAGAAGTTTAGGAGAGTCTGGTGAGAAGGTTATGTCAGGGCTCTGTCGGTCACGGGATCTGAGGTCAAGGAGGGGCAAGAAGCCAGGAGGATGGCAGGTGGATGATGGGGATGGTCGGCTCCGGGGCCCCGGAGCAGGGGAGGGAAGCGCGGATTCGGGAGATGGGAGCCGGGAGGAAGGAAAAAGAAAAGCAGCGGGTTACGGAGGAAGAGGATCCGGCAGAAGATCGGTGGCGTCTGTATCGGGGAAGGAAGTCGGAACTCCGGCCAGGGATGAGCGTCCCCACGGAGCTGCCCGCCGAAGCCCGCAGCAGCTTCGCCCCGGGCAGCCTGCGGGGGCCGGACCGCCACACTCCAGCCACCGGAGCGCGGCGCCCAATCGGGAGCCGAGGCGAGCCGGAGCCCGCAGCCCCAGCCAATCAGCGCCGAGCCGGCTCCGCGGCCAATGGGAGGTGCTCTCGGCGACCCGGCCCCCGGAATCCGCGGGAGGGCGGTTGGAATTAACTCTCCGCGCGCCGGCGCCAGCGCCCCAGACTCGGGGCTCGGGGAGGGGCGCCCCGGGAGCGGAGCTTGTATCTCTCGCGGGGAGGAGAGCTTGGGCCCGGGGCTACGGGACGGAGAGCGGGGGTCGCAGTCCCCTACCGGAAGGTGGAAGGAGCCGGGTTGGCGCTGCTCCCGGTGCGGGCGGAGGGCGCCCCTTCCTTCACCTCCTGTCCGGGTTCGCGGCGGACGGGGACTGCCAAACAGCAGATCCGCTCCCCCGCGGGCCCTGGCGCCAGGTGAGCCCGGAAGCTGCGGCTCCGCCCGCCCGCAGGTGCGGAGGAAACACACCTGCTGGACCGGACGGATCTCCTGAGGCTGGGGGCAGGATTCGTAGGTCCCAGCGCCGGGGTGTGGCTGCTGCGGGCCCCGAAGGATGGCGTGGGAGTTCAGCCACAGCCCTGAGCTCTTGATCCTCGCGGCAATCCAGAGGCGAAGGGCGGACGGGGCGAGGCAGGGAGGTGGATCCCCGGGCTTAGCTTTCCACTGTCAGCTAGTGGTGGGAGAGCGTCTGCGAGTCTGGACTGCTGTCTTTGCTCATGAGTCTGGTAACGGTTAATCACGGGAGAACTGAGAAGACAGACTGGGGAAGCTAGCAACCCCGGGAAGGGGTTGAAGGAGAAAGAAGGCTTGGAGAAAGAAAGCAGGATGGGGGATGTCAGTTGGGGCGGGGGTGGGGGGGGGAGGAGGAGGCAGAGGCTGCCTGCCTGCGTGTGAGGCAGCCTCCAGATTTAGACTCAGAGCGCCTTTGGAGCTCCAGTGTGTGTTTACTTGCTTACCAGCTGGATGAACTTAGGCAAGTTACTTAACGTTTCAGAGCTTCATTTGTCAATGGAATGCTAACTACCTATTGCACTTACCTGAGGGAAAGTGTTGGACTCCTACCAAGTGCCCAGTTGTCAGGGTTCCAGAAAAGTCAAGAGCTGCCAGACCCTTGTGCCCTCGTGTATCCTGTTCCCACTGCTGGGAATGGCCCTTCCCCATTCTTTTGGTGATTCCCAAATCATTCCTCACCTTGAGCTTTATCTCTCCTGACCCTTGAAGCTTTCTCAAGTTCTCCACTTTCAGCCATCTCCATCTTGCTTTGCTCCTCAAGCAGTTACCCACATTTCTCATTTTAATCAGCAATCGTTTACTCTCTGACTCCTTTCACTATCCTGGGAGTTCTTGGATGCCCCCCCCCGCCCCCCCCAGGGACTGGGTCTGAGTCATCTCTCTCTCGCCCTCCTCCTGGGGCTACCTCATTGAGCATTACGGAGACAGGAGGGGTGGACGGTAAAGTAGAGCAGACAATGGGGCTTCTCCCCGGATTCTCAAGAGGGGTTCTGAAAGAGTCCCCTGAAAATTTCCAGTGGATGCTCCCAGATTTCTCCACCTGGTGGATGGGATGACACTTAATCAGTATTTTAATCATTTTTTTTTAAAGATTTTATTTATTTATTCATGAGAGACAGAGAGAGAGAGAGAGAGAGAAGCAGAGGGAGAAGCAGGCTCCCAAGGAGCAGGGAGCCGGATGTGGGACTCGATCCCAGGACTCCGGGATCATGACCTGAGCCGAAGGCAGACGCCCAACCGTCTGAGCCACCCAGGCGCCCCTACTTTAATCATTTTAATCCTAGAGTTTACAGCAGTTGTTCTCAAAGTGTGGTCCCTGGAGCGGCACCAGCCACACCATGAGTACCTGGGGAAGAAATGCAAATTCTCTAGCCTTGTCCCAGCCTTCCTGAATCAGGAGGTAAACAGGAGGTGAAAGACTGTTTTAACAAACCCACCAGGTTATTATGGTGTGTGCTTAGGTTTTGGAAACATTGGAAGAGCACAAGTGGGGGGAGGGGGAGAGGGAGAGGGAGAAGCAGACTCCCCGCTGAGCCGGGAGCCCCACGCGGGGTTCCATCCCAGGACCCCGGGATCTTGAGCTGAAATCAAGAGTCAGCTGCTTACCCCTGGCTTAAGCCTTTTTTTTTTCTTCTTCTTCTTTTAATTTCATTTATTTGACAGAGACAGCAAGAAAGGGAACACAAGCAGGGGAAGCGGGAGAGGGAGAAGCAGGCCCCCCCCCCGGCCCCCCGCCGAGCAGGGAGCCGGCTGTGGGGCTCATCCCAGGACCCTGGGATCATGACCTGAGCCGAAGGCAGATGCCCAACGACTGAGCCACTCAGGCGCCCTGGCTTAAGCCTTTTATCTTTAATATCTAGATGTCCTAAAGATAGACTACTTTTATTTATTTTTTATTTTTTTTAAAGATTTTATTTATTTGACAGATCACGAGTAGGCAGAGCGGCAGGCAGAGGAAGAGGGAGAAGCAAGTTCCCCACTGAGCAGGCAGCCAGATATGGGGCTCGATTCCATGACCTGAGAAGAAGGCAGACGCCCAACTGACTGAGTCACCCAAGTGCCCGGACAGACTACTTTTAAAGTAGTATTTTAAAGATTTATTTATTTGAGGGGGGGAGGGTCCAAGGGAGAGGGAGAGAGAGAATCTCAAGCAGACTCCCCACTGAGCACAGAGCCCAAAGATGGGGGGGAACTCCATCTCATGACCCTGAGATCATGACCTGAGCCAAAACCAAGAGTCAGATGTGTGCCGAATCAAGCCACCCAGGCGCCCCCCATACCCTCCTCTTTGGAAGGAAGTCACTATGCTCAGCCCACACTTAGGGAATGGAGAGTTAGACTCCGCCTCCTTGAGGGAGAAGTATCTACACAACTTACTTGGAATTCTTCATGGGAAGTTTGTCTCCCTCATTTATTTGCTTATTCAACTATTGATTCCTATCAGTATGGACTCATGGATTTTTATTTTATATTTTGGGTTGTAATTCAATATACTTTATTTTGGGGGCACCTGGGTGGTGTGTGTGTATATATATATATATATGTAAATTATATGTATATATAAAGTATATATATATATAAGTATATACACACACACACTTTATTTTGTTGCCCCAAGTGTTCTAGCTTTAGCCCTGGGAGCTCTTTTACTTGCTACATGTATTTCTTTGACACATCACCATCAAAAAAATTTTTTTAATGAAAACATTTTTTTAAAGGTTTCCCTATTTTCTGGCAAAACAAGATGCTCCAGGCTCTTTTGTATATCCCCTGCCCCAGTGCTAGAATCAGCCATTTCTCCAAGAATCTCTAGTTCCTTTTATTAAAGAATGGTATTAGAAACCAAAATCTGGGCCCCACACTGGTTGTAGAGATTGCTTAAAAAAAAAAAATCTTTAAAAGAAAAAGGAAAAAACCAAAATCTGGGCACTGGACGTGCTTGTTGCCATTGGGATTGGGGTATCATTGTTTTGAGACCCTCTTAGCTGGGAGAGCAAGTAAATATATGTGTGTATAGTAACCCATGTGTGTATTTCTTATTTTTTTTTACACAATTTTTTTAAAATTTTTTTAAAAGATCTTATTTATGTATTTGACAGAGCGAGACAGAGAGAGAGGGGACACAAGCAGGGGGAGTGGGAGAGGGAGAAGCAGGCCTCCTGCAGAGCGGAGAGCCTGATGCGGGGCTCGATCCCAGGATCCTGGGATCATGACCTGAGCCGAAGGCAGACGCTTAACGACTGAGCCACCCAGGCGCCCCCCATGTGTGTATTTCTGTGTGTAACCATCTGTATCTTCATTAAGCTGAACATGAGTTCAGACTGATGTCCCCAGCTCTAATCCATTGCTACGTGAATCATTTTAACCTCCTCTCTGTGCCTCTCTGTGAACTCTCACTCCAACAGTGAGCAACCTGACTCCTCTTATCACCATCCACTTACTTAATTGTTCAATTCCAGTGTACATGTGTAGGACTTCTCAGAACTGTGAACCCATAACCCCATGGGAATCCACCTGATCGACTCCAGTACGATGCTTAACTGCAGTTTCCTTTTGCCTGTCATCTTAGAGAGTCCACTCATTTCTGAAGTTACGTAGGTCAGCACCTCCCCCCCAACCCGGCCCACCCTCTTTGGTAAAGTTGTATCATACATTTATAATACAGTTAGATTCGGTTACATTCTGCCTTCCTTCCTGGGAGACCTTGGCTTCCTAAGGGATTTTTTTTAAACTTTTTTTTTAAAAAGATTTATTTATTTATTAGAGAGAGAGAGAAGGGGGGGAGGAGCAGAGGGAGAGAACCTCAAGCAGATTCCCCACTGAGCGCAGAGCCTGACGTGGGGCTCGATCCCACAACTTTTGAGATCATGACCTGAGCCGAAACCCCGCCATCCTAAATGATTTTTTTTAAAAGATTTTATTTTAACCATTTATTCATGAGAGACAGAGAGAGGGAGAGGCAGAGGGAGAAGCAGGCTCCCCGCTGAGCAGGGAGCCCGATGCGGGACTCGATTCCGGGACTCCAGGATCATGACCTGAGCCGAAGGCAGACGCTTAACCATCTGAGCCACCCAGGTGCCCCCTAAATGATTTTTTAAAACCTGCACAAAATTAAGGTTCACTGGCTGTGCTGTGAAGCTGTAAGGGTTTTGACAAATGCAGGACAGTATGATACAGAATAGTCTCACCATTCTAAAAAAAAAAATCCCCTGTATTTTACCTCTTCCACCCGCCCTGGCAACATCTCATCTTTCTACTCGCTCTCTATTTTTGCCTTTCTAGAATATCCTATAGGTATGTGGCCTTTTCAGACTGGCTTCTTTCACTTAGCAATGTGCATTTAAGCTTCATCCATGTCTTTTTGTCACTGCATAACTTTCCACTTTGTGGATGTGCCCCAGTCTGTTTATCCATTCATGTATTGAAGGACAAGTTGGTTGCTTCCAGTGCTTGCTGATGATAAATAAAGCTGCTCTAAATAT